TTGAACCAGCTTGGGCCTTTCTGTCTGAAAGGCATGGAAATAAATGATAGCTTAACTTCTGCGGGCAAAGTTTTTCTAGCACACAGGTACATGAATTCCCATAAATCTCCACTACGAAGTGACAATAAAAATGATGTTGTGGAAGGAAAAGGTTGCTGTCGCTGCTGATGGGACCACCAGTCCCTCACTGCAGCTCACCTCACCCACCCCAGATGGTGAGAAAGCACACTTTTGAATGGGACCTAAGCCAGCGCCCAGTTGACATTGGACTTGATGCTGATTTTGAACCTAAAAAGAGCCTGCTGGATCAGGCCAATGGCCCATCTAGTCCAGCATCCTGTTCTCTCAGTGGCTGACCAGATGCATGTGGGAAGCCTGCAAGCTGGACCGGAGAGCAGCAGCATTCTCCCCTACTGTGGTTCCCAGTAACTGATATTCAGAAGCGTACTAGCTCCAATCGCAGCATGGCTCCCATTCAAAAGTGCTGGAGACAGCAGGGCCAAACAACAGCCGCCGGCCAATCAGGAAACAGGTCTGGGTTGAAAGTGGTGGTGGTCTCTGGTGGTGCACAGACTGGTGACAGATTAGAGCCCATATGTTGCATGATGCTGAGGGCAGATTCCATTTTGCAGACCCTCCCATCCATCCATGGACAGTGGGTGGCCAGCCGGTGGGAACACAGGAGAAACCTGGAAGTCAGCATAGGGCCAGTCCATACATTCTTATGAGGGCTTTTCAAAACAGCCTCTGTTTAGCAATATCAGCATTCAATGCCTATACTATGTAGTGTGTAGTATGAAACCACCCACTCTGCTCTAGAAGTTGGCCAACTAATTGCAGCTAGTCAGTGGGATGGAAGTCACTGCTGTGTTGGTATCATCCACATGGCGACTGCTCTATGCATTCTTGCTCTCCTTTAAAGAATGGCTACATATGGGCTGTTTTAGACAAATGGGGGCTCTCTGTGTGTGTGTTGGTGGCAAGGATTGTTTTATCAAGAAAACAAATGGCAGATCCATGTGAGCATTGCAACTTTTTATTCTTTTGAGGGATTCCAAAATTACTCCATCTTGCTCAGAAGTGCTTTAGGAAAGCAAAACATTCCTCTCCCCGAGCTATAATTTAGCATCGACATGGATGGCGACAAAGGGGTCTTCGGCAGAGTTGCTGATCTGGAAATAAGCTGTGCCATCACCATTGACTTGGATTTTAATTCCACTGCAGCCATTGCCTTCCTTCTGCCCAGAAATGACGTCACAGTAAGTGCCAGCAGGGAGGCCGGTTTGCAGAGTTTCAGACATGTTCCTGTTTTAAAAAGAGAGTCAAAAATAATGATCATGTAGTTAGCTATCCTTTATCATCAAGCTTTGCACGCTAAGCTACCTTGGTGGGTCCATTCTGCTATGCAATTGCTAATAATAAAATGAGATTTCAGTTTGACCCCATCCTGGCTTTTCTAAGGACAAAACTGATGATGCTCAAATGCTCACTGCATCCTTCCTTCTATGGAAGATTCTGGGATGCTTTGCAAGGCTGGTTTAAACATTATTGCTAGATTCTGTATAGCTCTAGGTGCCTGCTAGACTGCCCTGCTTTAAACACATGAGAAATCTCTTCCTACTTACCAGTCGTCATTATTAAAGACAATGAATCCTTTGTTGCCACGGCCAAATGCCACTTGATTGCTGTTATTGTCCCACCAGTTGGTAAATGGCTGTCCGTCCACAACATTGCGGAAAATCACCATGTTCCTTTGGAGGGGGGAAAATGGGTTCATTGGTAATTGATGTACTGCAGAACAGAGTCAAACATGCCAAAGTGCAATAAAGAGATAACCATGATTAAGGGGACTGAAAGAGTGCTAATCTATGTGTTGGATTGTAGCCATTAAGCCATGTGCGCATTCCAACCTTATTTGACGCCATCGATGTTCGCAGACCCAGTCATTGCCACAGGTTGTGTCTGGATTAATGGTAACAGATTTGGTAGACCCATCCCCATTGCTCGGAGGTCCAACCCAGTCATTTATATCCTGGTTGTCAAAGAATTGAGAAAACATAAATATTAGAGGTGAAAAATAATAACAGACCACATTTATTAGAATGTATAAACTAACCAAACTTGCAGATTATCATATTTCTGGGAGGCAAAGGCCTGGTCTACACATGTAACATAATGAGTTGAGAAGCTGCTAGGGTCCCAATATGTTAGACTGGATGATGCCACTTCAGATGGAGGATCATATCATGATATTCCCTTACATCCCTACCAGTAGAAAGTTAGCACAGAAAGCAACAGTCTTAGCTGTAACCTCAATAACTAATACACTAGGGTTTTTTCTTGGTTTGGTTGAACTTTTGCTGTCTGATTCAGGCAGGGTCTTTGTTTTATGTGGAGGAACATTCAAAACTGATAGGCTGAAAAAGTACAGTACTATCTACCACCTTCCTTGACATTCTTCTGTATGCGCAAGACCACACACACATGACTTGGTCAGTCTCTAGGATGTGTAGGATTGTTGGTTCTGTGGAGCAAGGTACATATTAATGATGCCGATGAATCTGAAGGACAGAGTTAGCACCTGCATTCCATAAGTAGTTCAAGTCAAATAAAACCCAGTGGTAGACAGCATGGTTAGCCTGCACTGCTCACCTGACTTTCCTCCAGCTACATTTTTGGTGCATACCATCAGGTGAAAGAGCAAGGTTGGTGAGGTGCAGTTAGGCTGATGCAGTCTAATCTGGTGCTCTTGCCAGTCTGTTTGCACCGCGTCAACCTTGCTACCACCTCAGCCTCCCCCCATCCTGGTGTGAAGCAGCAACGTTGCCAAAGGGAGGTCAGGTAAGCGTTGCAAGCCCACCATACCTTCTCTGCAAGTGTGCTTCAGAGTGCAGATGATTATTCTTCAGGGACACCACATGCCCAATCATTACAAAGCAACCATACCAAAAGTGAAGTTAAGATAAATTGGTTCATTTGGAGTATTACAGTGTAATCATAACCATGGGTAAATGTAAAGGTAAAGGAACCCCTGACCGTTGGGTCCAGTCGTGGATGACTCTGGGGTTGCAGCAGTCATCTTGCTTTACTGGCCGAGGGAGCCGGCGTACAGCTTCTGGGTCATGTGGCCAGCATGGCTAAGCTGCTTCTGGCGAACCAGAGCTGTACACGGAAACACCGTTTACCTTCCCGCCAGAGTGGTACCTATTTATCTACTTGCACTTTGACGTGCTTTCAAACTGCTAGGTTGGCAGGAGCTGGGACCGAGCAACAGGAGCTCACCCCATCGAACCGCCGACCTTCTGATTGGCAAGCCCTAGGCTCAGTGGTTTAGGCCACAGCGCCACCCGCATCCCAACCATGTGTACTCAGAAATAAATCTCAATGAACTCAGTAGAAGTTACTTTCAAATCAATTGGATTGTAGCCTTGAAAGATTTGAACCTCCCTGGGATATTCCTTCCTTCCACCACCCCATTTCAATTTACTGAAAACTGAAATAGCCACCTATATAGAAGAAGAAGAGTTTGGATTTGATATCCCGCTTTATCACTACCCTAAGGAGTCTCAAAGCGGCTAACATCCTCCTTTCCCTTCCTCCCCCACAACAAACACTCTGTGAAGTGAGTGAGGTTGAGAGACTTCAGAGAAGTGTGACTAGCCCAAGCTCACCCAGCAGCTGCATGTGGAGGAGTGGGGACGTGAACCCGGTTCACCAGATTACGAGTCCACCACTCTTAACCACTACACCGCACTGGCACCACACTGGTGCAGACCTCTTTGAAGATGTGGTACACATCTAGAAAAGTGGGGTGCACATCCTTTAAAACTAAATAACGAATGCCCATTGCCAATTTATTTAGGCTCCTTGTTATCACACAATAGAAACTGACCTTTCCATTCTCAAAGTATCTTGGCCAGCGGAAACTTGACATCACACGGGTGAAACCATATGGGTGAGCGAGCATGAAGCCGACTGCCATTTTGTATTGCCTGAAGATATATTTTAAGAAAATGAACATGAAAGGGAGGATCAGAAATTGAGATTTATATTTATTTCAGGAGTGGGGTGGGGAGGAGGAGCCAGTAAGGCTTCAAGTCTCAATGTGTTCCTTACCTGGAATCCCAGAAAGTCAAAATGGCAGATCCACCAGCACCGTGCCCCCTCTGGTTATCATGATTGTCTACAAAGACAACGGCTTTGTCAGAAGGCATAAAACCCCAGCCTTCTCCCCAGTTCCTGAAGAAAAGAGAAAAAGGGCCAAATTTAGCTAAGCACTGAATTTCAATATATGCAAGGCTGTAAGCTTCGGTATTCAGTTTTGCTTTGAAGTATATAAAATTGAATTACTTTAAATAAGCCATCTTTTCTCCACTCCACTTGCGAATGACCGTTCCTAGTTTTGCACCATATTTGAATTCAGTTACCCGGCCATTTCCATAGTAGTCACTGGCTTTAATTGGCTCTCCACCCAAATCAATTACCTGTTGAGGGAAAAGAAGAAAAGTTATTATGATACATATTATGAGTGGAAAATAAAGTGTTTTTTTAAGCTCTGAAATCAGCTCTACATCACAAATGTCTGCCCTTGCCGTCCTCTCAAGCTAGCCTTATATGTGCTTAATGGTTGTCTTCAACATAACAGACAGTCAAAGTACCTCTTGGAAGATGAAAGGCCTTGTTCCTTCAGCAAACCAAGTCGTTCTCAGATTTTTCAACTTGTCTAAGAATGCTTTCATATCCCCAGGCCACATATGCTTGGAAGCATCAATTCGAAATCCTGCTACTCCAATGTCAATCAGATGGTTCATATACTCAGCAACCTTGGAGCGCACATAGTCCTTTTCGAGCGCAAGGTCGAGAAGGCTAACGAGGCGACAGTCACGGACCTGTTTTGAAAGGTTGTTTTGAGAAATCAATTTCATAGAATCATAGAACTGTAGAGTTGGAAAGGACCATGAGGGCCATCTAGGCCAATCCCCTGCAATGCAGGAATCTTTTGCCCAACGTGGGGCTCGAACCCTGAGATTAAGTCTCATGCTCTACCAGCTGAGCTATCCCAGATGCCTGGTTTATCATTAATGGGTTGGGTGTCACATTTAAACCAACTTCTCCTATGCAGAAAAGAATTGAAGAGGAACTGCATAAGGATGATGAAGAGAAGAAATATGCAAGCGAAGAAAGGAGAAAGTGGGTAAAAAAAATGAATGCAAGAGCTTCACCTGGTAAGGATCACCATAATTTTCAATCTCTCCACTTCCAGTTTTGCATTTCCAGTCGTTGAAATCCCAGCCGGAGTACGGGACAGCAGGGAAATCGTGGGTCTCTGAATTAAAATAGCTTCCACAAGTAGAGTGGGTGCCAGATCCAGCAGCAGCTCCACACATGTGGTTGACTACAGCGTCAACATAAATGTATACCTGAGTACAGAAAAGGCATGACCAGGTTGTATTTATTATCATTGCTTCTTATTCTCTTCTAGGCATAATTCAAGGAGCTGGTTATATCCCATGAAGGCCCAACATACTTCCTCTCTTGGGTCCCTTCTCAAGCACTGAGTTCTATTGAGGATGCTCTCTTAATCATACCATCTGTGCTTAGTTACCAACTGAACGAAGAGAGATGTTCTTGGTGGCTGCCCTTCTCCCCAGTTACGGAACGTTTTCCTGCTGCAGATTTCCCAAAGTCTAAGCTCGAGGGCATTTTGGGATGGATCGTAGGACCTATCTGTTTGGGATGGCCTAGAGGGCTCAGAGCTAAGTTGGAGAATGGGGAGAAGTGTTATTAATGTAGGTGAAATATTAATTCTGTCTTGCAGGTGCTTGATCTGTTAACTACTCCAAATCTTAAGGATGGGGTTGACTAGAAATCTCGGTAAATTAAAACAAGGCACTTTGTGTCAGTGATGGAAGGTTTTCAAGCAGCACATTTCATGGGCCCATTCCTCTAGAGTCTGGGCCATTCCTCCTTTATTTACTTTTAAAATGCCTGCAGAGGAGACATCGAACATGCATATAAGTGAGAAACACAATTTAAAATTCATTAAGGGATCTGTTTTGACCTTGCAGTAACCCTAGAGTTTTCCCTCCTGCTCCTCCTTCGCAAAGTTACTGAAATGGCAATATTAGGTTCCAAGAAACAGCTGCCCATAATAAAAGAGCCTCACTATTTAGACCACACATGCCTATACAGCATTGTGTATAACTAACTTAACTAGAAGTTAAAGGAAAGGTAGTTTCCTATGGCTCCCAACATTCTTAGGAGAACATGCACAGTAGCTCTGGGGGGCTCCCAGGAACCACAGCAAATGCTATTTCCATGATTTCTGACCTTTCTAGACATTTCCCATAGCTTTTTGTGGGACTGGACGATTTTGTATATGCTTGCAGGATCCTTGAAAGTTAAACTGTGAAGCCCTACATATGGCTGAGTTACCCCTGGAGTAACTAACTTTGGTTATTTTGGGAAAGGTAAGGGGAGAGCAGACAGGGGTCTCGATGGCAAAGAGGTTCTAGATCCCGTTGCATTCTCAGAACTGATTCAGATTAGTGTTGCTTTTAAATTTGATTAATTTAAGGGTGTCCAGGGGATGTCCTCCAAATTCATCCAACTGAAATGGGTCCATTCTGAATCGAGTTAGGCAGACTCCACCCATCCCTAGCTTGTTGGGGTGACAAGTGAATTTTACCAGCCATCTCCCTGGAATAATTGGCTCCCTAACTGAATACATGTCACTGGCATAGAACCATAGCTGATTTGATCTGAAGTCCCCCACTATTGGTATAGACAGGATTTCCAAACCACTTACTCCAACATTGTTGCATCTGGTCACCATGTCTTTAAATTCATTCTCATTTCCAGATCGTGAACATAGCTTGTAACTGATGGGCTGGTATCTTTCCCACCATGGCCTCCATGGATTTGTAACAACGAGGTTTTCATTTGGAGGGGAGATCTGTGAATTAAGAGATATTAAAACACCACACACCAATAAATACCATTTCAACAATTTAGTAGAGAGATGATGGTGCTGCTTAAGTTATTGTGGGCTGCGGTTGACATAGCCAGAATCTGTACAGACAATCCAAAACGAGTGATGAGTAAATTCTCCTCAGAAAGCTTTCCCAATCTTCCTCAGAGAGTCTTCAGAAGAACCAAATGTGAGAGGAACTGTCCCCAGCCCTCCCTGACAGCATCATTTCACCCAAAGCAACAGGAAGGCCTTGCAGGCATCTACTTGCTTGGAAATGACACACATGCAACAAAGTCAGGAGTGTCCTTTCCTGCTGGAATTCACAGGATTTTTAATGTTTCTATGCCCTTGATTCAAATGAATTGAATGCTACAAATCCCAAGAATCCTGACAGACTATGGCCAGGAACATCGCTTCCTGCTAAGCAGAAATCTCTCTTGGCTCCACTAGCAAGGTGTTCCTGCTGCCAATTCACCCATGCTTTCAGAAGGGAAACAGGAAAAACCAGGTTTCCAAAAGACTCCCATGGATACAGAAGGTTCCATGCTGCATGTTGTAAAAGACAACAAAAACAGGCATGGAGTTACCTCTTGTCATCTCTCTCCCTCCCTCTCTGATTTATATTGTCCTGAGGAGTAGAAACGAGGAGTAGAATGTTATCACTCTCCAATTGCACTGGACCACTCTGCTCTAATGGGGAAGTGTGATAAGATGTTCTTTATCACTTGGCTGGACAATAGCGATGTCTGGCTTGCCAGCTAATTATATACATTCCTTGCTAACTTAATTCTTGGCAAAATTGTGGTCTTGTGACTTAGCAAGTTGTAGAGTAGTTTTCATTATCCATTATCTCTATTAATATTAAAAGAGTGTCTCACTGTTATGCACAGAAGAATCATTAAAGATCATGAAGCCCATAGCAAAATGCTTCCATCTTCTTCCCCACACACCATTATTCATGGAGTGGTTTGCTTAACTCTAAACCAGACCTATAAATAAAGCCTTAGCCAAAATATTATCTGGGGTGTTTTTTCCTACCCCAAATTACATTGTTGGATGTTGCCAAGTTGGCTATGTGAACCGGTCCCACATTCTGAACAAATTTCAAAAGCTTTGGTTGTCACTTTGACATTGTATTTCAATAGTCTTATTGGTTCAGACACATTAATTAAACCAGGAGTAGCTAACATCCTAGCCTCCAGGTGGTGCTTCTTATCATCTTTGGCAAGGCTGGTGCTGATGTGAGTTTAAGAGTCCAGCAAAATTTGGAGGTTATGACATGGAGTTCAAGGGTATCATATTGGCTACCCCTGAATTAAACCATTAAGCATTAACTATATTTGAGTCCTTCACCTTGGTCTGTTTCCAATGACTAGTCTAAGTACACTCCTGTAAGCACCTATTATTTCCAGTTGTTAGTTATATTGAAATTGCCACTTGTTGTCTTTGGTCCAAATAAACTGTGACAAACAAATATTGAATAGAAGTTGCCTACCTGGACTCCGCCAAATCCATTAGGTGCTAAATAACGCTCGCATTCCAGAGCAATGTCAGCCCAACGCCATTCGAAGAGATGGACTATTGATGTCCTTCCGGGTTTTGTATTTGGGTTATATTGAGCCCAAGACAGCTCAAAGGCAACAAGGAGAAGAAAGACCCTCATGTTATCTTGGACAATTGCCGTTGTTGTGTGCTCTGCTTTGCCTTTCTATTTATATTCTTGCTGCAGATCAAAGTACACTTCAGTCGTGATGCATTCAACACAATTGGCTATATTTAATCAAAGGTCATTCCATTTGGTGGTTTAAACAAAAGTAACAGGTGAAGATAACAGACCAAATTCTCTGGCTAATAACTTCAAATCCACTTGATAAGGCTCCGTGTGATTATTCATGTCTGTGTTCGCAGCTAAATAGATTAGATAGTCCTGGGAACAGACATTCAGAGGCTGAATCCATGAACTTGTATGCACCGTGAAGAGTTTGCATGGACACACTCTCCTATTCCTTTCAACAGAAGGAGCCGTTCCACGCTTGCAAAGTGAAAATTATTATGTGCGTGGAGTATATTTTAATGGGAACCTATTAATTGGAATCAGTGTCATTGCAAATACTGTGAATTGTAGTAGATGGTGCAAGTGACTCCTGGTGTCCTCATGTTTTTTCACAACACACACAGGTTTCAACACAATGCCAATCATACCTTTTTGTAGGTTACACCATTCAGAGCTTATTACTTGTTGTCCATCATGGTGAATCTTTTCTTTCTTTCCTTCTTTCTTTCTTTCTTTCTTTCTTTCTTTTACACTTGCCCTACTTTCTCAAAGGTGCAAGACGTTGCAGAGCCACAACGCTTACCCAAATTTGGTTTACTTTAGTGGGAGGTGACCGTAGGCTTAAGGATGCTCATATTTATTTAATAACACAATAATGGACTTTTTTTTCTGTGGTGGCTCCCTGCTTGTGGAATGCTCTCTCCAGGGAGGCTTGCCTGGAACCTTCATTAAATCATCATCATCAACATCAACATCAACATCATGTTGTACCCTGCCCATATGCAGCTACTTTGGCACCAGGCAAAAACATTCCTCTTTTCCCAGACCCTTGGCTAATTAAACCATCTATGCCATAGGCAAACTAAGGCCCAGGGGCCGGATCCGGCCCAATCGCCTTCTAAATCCGGCCCACGGACAGTCCGGGAATCAGCATGTTTTTACGTGAGTAGAATGTGTCCTTTTATTTAAAATGCATCTCTGGGTTATTTGTGGGGCATAGGAATTTGTTCATTTTTTTCCCTTCCAAAATATAGTCCGCCCTGCCCCCACAAGGTCTGAGGGACAGTGGAGCAGCCCCCTGCTGAAAAAGTTTGCTGACCCCTGATCTATGCCATTCTATACTGCGGTGTGGTGTGTGGTATTGTTTTTGTTTGTTATTATGGTATGTATTTTTGTGGTTTTATATTGTAACCCACCCTATGATATTTGGACAAAGGGCAGTATAGAAATATAATTAATTTTTTAAGTCATTAATAATTGGGGTGGCATGCCCCACTAGCATATGCATTCAGTGATACAGCAACCAAAAGTTATAGGCAT